TTTAAACACAGCATAAACATTTTCATTGATACAGTGTTGGGTATTTCGACATCTATAAGAAGAGCCTGGAAGGATGATTCTGGATATCTAGTTTATAGACTGGTCTGCTGAGGGGGGCCATTCAACAGAGTCTTTGAGCAATGACAATCAACCAAATGCCCAACTCAGACGTTTTTGGAAACATCAGTCTGAATTTTCTGAAAAGCGTAATGATATTATGGCAATAGATTCCAATAAGTGGTCATTTAGCGCTTGACTATATTTAGTTTAATTAATCCCTGTTATTAGTATGGCGTTTTTATATGACCAAGTCATCCATCTGACAGGTCAGACTTCCCAACAGCTATTTGAAATGCATGACACATTCTGGACAGAAGCAGCTGTCAAGGCATGTAATGGAGGCACTTTTGTGGGAAATATCACTTAATTGTGGCTGATGCTGCTGAATTAGTCACAGTTCCTTACTGTTCGTATATGAGACACCACAGTGGAAGTTTAGCTCTCCTACCTCATGACAGCATGTTTTACATGAATTTACAGAAAGAATTGCAGTAGTGAAATAATCCAAATTCTGCTCTTTAGTCGTAAATGTGCAATACCCATTCCAACCAACAAGGCACAAAAGTGATTTTTTCTGAGACCAAATTATGGCTCAAAACACAAAATGTTAAATTTTGGATTAATACAAAATCTGTGTCCCTAATGCCATAGACTAACTATCAATTAGTTGAAAGCTTGTAAGCACAGACAGATGAACACATAGGAATCTCTTGACAGAGTCTCTTCACTTTTAATGTTGGTGTGCTAGTTAAAAATTGATTCTAGAAACTAAAAAAAAAAATCACTGCAGAATCATTTTAAGCACAAATTCATAATAAATTTCACTCAGTTATGTAGATTTTGCCTGCTGAATTTTTACTACAAACTTTAGAAAAACTTTCTACTTTTGAGTTTTGCCTGCCTCAAACACATTAATTCCCTTCAGATAGCAGACACAAGCTTCTGAAGTTCATCTATTTGGTGTCTTATCAATAGGAACTACATCAAGTGTCGAGGTCTTGCTTACATTACTAGTAATTGACTGTTCCATTTGGTGTATCTTAACTACTCCTAATTTCCCTTGGGCTTCCTATGCTTGCTGCCTGTTGCATTCTATCAGCTGGGGACAGCCAGCATGTCTATTTTTAGCACTGACGTGTTAAACAGCACACGCAGGGAAAGATGCAATAGCTGTTGAGCAAGGACATCTCCCACTGATTACTTGTCCTTTCTGGAAAAGTTACTTTTTACTTCCATTTTCTCAGTGTTTATAGAAGAAAGGTACAGCTTTGCTAATCAAAAACTTGCAAAGCTTAGATGGAGTTTTCAATCCACAGCCCCATAGATTGCGTTTAGCCTGCCAGCACAATTAATTCAACCTATTTCTCAGGAAGCCTCAGGTTCTTCCTATCACGCTTACAAGTCTTAAACTACACTACACAATCTGTTTCCCAAGTTTTATGTTGATATTTCTATCAAGGTTATCATTATTACCTGCAAGGCTAAGCTGTAATTATTAAAATGTCCAATGCTGAACAGGCCTAGTAGCCAGTATTTACACATTCCACCTTAACAATCCCTTATCGCATCATCTGCTGTTAAGTACATGCTCACAAACCTTTCTTCCAGATCAAAAGCAAACTACTAACTACAGAACCCAACTCGACTGATCTCCTACTTCCCAAGTGGCAAAGTTTCTCGTTAGCCAGGCCAATAAGTATATCCTTAATCATAAGGACCAAGTTGCTTTCTGTATTTGTGTTTGCTGTAATTTTAACATAGTTAAGTAGTAAAACTTTAGGCAATTGCCACCACAGTCATGGGATATTCTTTTACAAGCACATGGATGGCAGAAGTGATGAGGGCCATTAGAAAAGACTTTGCACCTCCGAAGTTACAATCAATATACAAACTATGATATAGTGGTGCTTTAATATGCCAACAGCCATTTTCTTTGCAACTCCTCTGAGAAACAGTATTTGAAGAGTGGGCGCAACTACTAGATAAATGTGTCATGTGTGGTTCATGTTTTAGAGGTTCATGGATTAAATCAGCCTTGAGGGGAAAAAAAAAAGGAAAACAAAAAGAAACTACAACCTCACAGTCTGGAAATAACTGAAAGGAATATGCTATGCTGTGGACCTTCTGTTAAGTATATTGTGTACATGGTGTAACCTTCACCTCATCCAAGATCACAGATTCAAAGAGAAAACATAGGAAGAAACAAAATCTGCCTAAAAGATTGCAGCTAATTAATGTAATTTTAAAAATCTATTACTTTATATCTTATATATAAAGCATCATAGTACACAAAACTATGTAAAAACAACTGAAATGTGCAATGTTTTTAAATGTTGGTGCTAATTTCAAAATATTTTTTATTACTTACTCTTATCTGGCATAGTAACTCACTCAAACTAATGCACTTTCAGAAATGGGAAACTTTGTCAACCCACCATGGTAGAAAAGTAGTTCCTGTAAACCTTTTGGTCTCAAAAGTTAGCATGATCTTCTCTTCCAAGAAGGTCTAGCATTCTAAATTTTGAGTCACTTTGCAGTTTTGTTTTCTCTTTGAATAGCATTTTTGAGGGTTATTAAACTGTAAGTACTAACCTGAATTTCTATAGTTTTCCTAGTTGCAAGTTCTGTCTTTGCAGTTATATGAATCAAAAATAACTGATGTTGGCTCAATTTTCCATCAACGTATTGAGGAATATGGCAAAGGCAGATATGCAAAGGAAAGAAGCACAAGTAGTACAGGGGTGGTTAAAAAACATAACAAAAATGCATGAGAAGCCTTTATATACAATTTTAAATTTCAGTTAAAGTTTGCATTCAACATTATTGTACAGAAGCTGTAAACCTGCAACAGCAGGAAGTACCGAGTGAATAGCATCAATTAGGCAAATCCATAGATTTGATTTGAAATCTACTTCAATTTCACTCTCCCATATTTATTCACGTACACCAGTAACTTTCGCTTTTTTCCATCTTTTCCATCAATAGCAAAATCATTTTTATGACAGCCATTGTTCTCTTCATTTTGCATTTGTCATCAGGGCTAAACATACTGCTTACACTCAGACTTAATAGCAGAGCTCTGGTTAGCATTAAATCTCCTCATTTCAAGTCCCCAGTTACACAATCTTCCTTCCACTTACAGGCTCCTGCTGTTACCTTGGGAGTCTCTGCATTGCCTCAGTAAACGTTTTCCAATAGCATCCAAAAAAATCACAGCATAATTTTCTTTTTTTTTTCAGTTCATGTTTGAAATGTTACCAGCAACACAGTTATAGAAGTTTATACATAGACAGTGGTGGTCTTACATTTTATGCATTGAATACTTCTCCTGGTGTGTCGATATGAGATATCCTGCTGCAACAAGAGCAAAGTATTCGATTCAAGGTAGGGGTGGTGGAATCAGCCAAGGAGACCCTGCATTCTTGTAGGCCAGTAGATAAGACAGTTACCATCTACTGAGACTGAAAAAAGGTGGAATTGCTTCTGTTAATGCAAGTTTGCCATTCATAGTCAATTTGTAGTGCAAGTTATCTGAAACAGTGAGAGATGTAAACAGAAAGAAAGCCTCAAATCTTCACAACCTACACCAGAACACCAGTAACGCTCCGAGACAGAGTGCAAATTAAACCTCAGCCTTTCCAATAATTTCACCACAACATTACAAAGGTTCATCAGCAGTTTAAACAGATAGCTGCAGCCCGGCTAGCAGAGTGAACCAAGGCTGCTTGAAGTCAATTTTTCTTCTGCAGCAGTAACTGGAGGAGGAAGACAGAGACGAATGCTTGTCACATCTATACCTCACACTAGGCTTAAGAAATACAATTCTGTGTTTGCATTGTTTTGGTCACTGCTGTTTTCCAAAGCCTGAAAAGAGCTCAGCCTTTACCGAAAAGGCATTTTATTAACTCATGCTTTGCTAAAAAAGCATCTTTTTGGCCACAGCTTTTCCCAGAAGAGATGGTATAGAACACGGAACCAGTACAGCCTGCCAGCACTAATGGACAACAACACAACAGTTACATGGTAAGACAGGAAGAGAAACTCGGAACAGGTTGCATTATGGAGTACTATGGCTAAAAGGAGAATTTTAATAGCATATGTTTTTTAAGTAAGTTATTTTGTACATACAATACACATTAAACAAATACATATTGACAAAGGTTTCAGGTAAGATAATTTTTTTTTTTCCCCCCAAACTGTTTATACAGCACTGAAAGTTCTGGTGACTTTGTTTTTAGACCTAAAATAAGATAAAGCCTATACAGATATAGGTGTTGGTGTATTGTAAACTGCAACAGGCTGCCCAGTGTTCTCTTCAAATGTTCAAAAGAAAGAATTGTTACAACTTCTTTCCCCACAGATATAACAATCTTAGTTAAAAAAAAAAAAAAAAACAACTCTGAGTTGATGTTTTATAATGCTGTCATCACCTTGTCTTTTATTAACCCACCACTATTGATTTATTAATATTACGTTGACTTTAGACTGCAAGATTTTTACATCAGGAGACAACATTACAGATGCAGGGGCTGTAAAGAGCTGTGTATTTTGGGAATCTGTGAAAGCGCATTCAAATCACTGAGCACTAAAATACAAACCACACAAACAACAATATTTGGTCTGTTGGGTTTTTTTTTTTCAAATGCTGTAAATATACAGCAGTGTAACAAAAAGTTCCATTTAAGTGGTACATCCAAAAGCAGCAGGTCACTAATGTGCTCCTGGAAAAGATGCAAAGTTTGTCCATTCTAGATAGGATTGTGATCAAATAACTATGAATCCATGTCACAGGTTAGGCTCTTGTTACTTGCTAAATTTATTTTCCTGTTTGGACAGGAAATCATCTAGCTAACAGTATCTCTGATTTTATTTAAATCATTTCTTATCAAAGTAATCTTCCAGAAGCAAAGGTGATCTTCCAAAAGAAAGCAGCTTTAGATTTATAAGTTTATGTTCCTTATACTTTCCAAGACGTTGTCATGGAACCAAGTTTCAGTAAACATATTAGAGTTTTGCAAAGCCTCAAAAAGACGCCTATAGTCTTCTGGGTATAAGTTACGGGTTGCAGCATTTTTTGGTATTTCTAGCTGTCTCAGCAATTTGCCACTATTGTCCAAGCTCCATGAACTGAAACAGACAAACAAACAAAAAAATCACAACAGAGCATTTGTGTGAAAAATTAAAGAGCAAGAAACAGTATCTAAATGTTCCTTTCACCCATCTGCAGCTTCTAGAAGTTAACATCTTCCTGACAACACAAGTTATTTTCAATCCAAACTGGAATCAGGAATAAATCTCTGCTGGATATAAGGAAGATGCTTTTTTACAATAAGGGCTGTGAAACACTGGAACAGGTTGCCTAGAGAGGTGATAGAAGCCCCATCCCTGGAAACATCCCTTGGATGGGGCTCTGAGCAACCTGCTCTAGCTAAAGATGTCTCTGCTCACTGCAGGGGCTTGGACTAGATGGCCTCTAAAGGTCCCTTCCAGCCCAACCTATTCTATGATAATACACCAGATAAAACCCCCAGCAGACATAGACAATTCCAAACCACATAATCCTCCTCATTAGAGGGTGGGTGCCCTCCCTCCCTCCTTCACCCCAACTGCGTCAGTCAGTAACAGGCATGACAGCATAAAAAGGGGCTGTTATTCAATGCCGGGGAAATGAAAGCCAAGGTCATCTTCAAGAAGACGATTCAGTATTGCACAAGTTAGTGTGACTTACACCACCCAGGTATTTTCTTCTATGTATAAACAGATGCATCCACTGTCTCCCCATCTACATTACTGCTATGAAAACTAGACCTTTTATAAATGTGCAAATACATTAACTATTTCCCAGACAAGAAAAGGGTGTATAAATACACAGGAGATGCACATTAGAAGCCTTCAAGGTTAGCTCCACTTCCTGGCCAAAGGATCCAGTGGAGATTAGGTACACCATTGAGCTTCAAAAAAGAAATCTATTAAGGGTCTTTGCCCCTGTCTTTGCTAAATGAGTCACTGGAATTTACTAGCTTTTTACTGTTTGGGTTTTTTTCCTTTCTGGGAATTAACTTCCACAAACTACTACCAGCAAATGAGAAATATATTCATTATTTTCATTAACAAGTTGAAGTCAGTGCTTTCCAGACTGCAAACACTTCCCATTTATGGGAAACAGAAATCTACTGATCATAAAGCAAAGTGAATTGCTCCAACATAATACCAAAAAGAATAGTTAAAGAGAGTTGCATATTTGGTAAATAAGTCTAAAACCTAATCTGTTAATTAGATAACAGAAAGCCATTTCAGGAAATCCCACTGAATAACCTTCAGCTGTTTTCATTATAGCATTACTTTGATGTCTGTTATAAACTGAAACTCTCTTCCAGCTTTTAATTTCTATACCCGCAAAACTCCTGGTGACTTTACTAGTATGTCTGCAGAGTGAAAACTTCTTGCAGATACATGACCTCACCTCCATTGGAGGTCCAGACAATTACTGCACATCTACACTCTAAATACTTGTTGACCATCCTGTCAGACCTCAAATTTTTATCATCTGTGAATACAGGCCAGGAACAGTCCCGACAATATTGCACTGTGGGTTGCAAAAATAAAATGTTCTGTTCTACCTGTAGATAATTAATTTTTAAAAAGCCGTACTTCAGCTGCAAATAAATACTGCTTTGAGAACATATTTTAATATTTTCCTATATTTCTCTGAAGAAAAAGTATAAAACCTGTAATTCTTTCTTACTTACTTTAATCTATCAATAAGTCTAGACTTGGGTTTAGCAAAAGACTGTTTCACCATGAAAATAAAGGTAGCTGAATTTGTGGGCTTCAAGCTTCCTGTAAACAGATTTTGGTGAGGAGTCAGTCGTACCAGACATAAATGGTCATTTGGCAGCCACTGCAAGAAAAACAAAACAAGTCACTGAAATCACACATTTTTTAGACAGTGTCTGTCTTTAGCTAAAAGTAAGTGTTTCATCTGTGCCACCAGGAACATTTCTTAAAGAGTTTTAGAACTCTCAGCAAGATGATTTCATTGGAAGCTGAGGCTTTAAAATTTTGTTCCAGAACAAAGATGCTTTACCTTCCTTGCCCTTCGAACAGGAAAGGAAATAGGAACAGACATATTATCACTTTGGTTTTATTTTTTAAGACTGAACTTTCTTAGTTGAAATAGACAATACAGGCTTGATGTGAGTTTTCAAGAGATTGTATGGCCTATAGTATTTCTATACTATGCCAAGCATCAGAGATCACTTCAACTACCTGCCTTTTGTATATAAAGACTGAATTACTTGAGTGTAACACAAAGACAATATCACAATCTAAGGATTTTATGAAACTGGGAGGGAGTGGAGTCCTCAGTTGAAATAAATGTACTTCTGTATTGGCAGCAATGGATATATTGTCCAACAGATCTCACATCTGTACTTCTCCTAAGGCTGTCACAATGCATCTCACATAATCCACCTGATATGCCTCTCTACAAGGCTTTACAGCAACACACCTAAGTGTGTAAGGCACACCCAGTCACTTACCTTCACTTATAGTCACTTATATTGTACAGTAACAATTCAAACAACACTCAATATACTACCATAGCAGTTTTCTGAGGAGTAACATGCTTTTACATCACTGGTATTAAATAGAAATATTCTTGTATTATACAAAGGAACATCAGCACTTCTCTAAAACAGAAAAGTAAAGAACTTTACACAAGGTATTTTTCCACTTCTCAAATTTAAGCTTTGAGACACGCTTTTCAGCAATTAACTAGCACATGGAATCTATACTAGACATGTGAATAACCATTTAAATCAAAACCAGCAGCGTACTGATTGCACTATTAACTGTGGTAACGCTTGTTTTGTTCAAGCAGGTAGATGTGACCCTGTCAGTAACTTCTTTTGAAAAAGACTTTACCTGTTCACATCCCTTTATGCTGTTTTTTCACTGTATTTTTTCCAGCATAGACAATAAAGATACTAGTTTATTTCAGTTTCTAAGCTACTAGCAATTTTTCACCCCACTACTGACACATCTACATGCTGCCAGTAAGTTCTAATCAGAAGAACACTTCTTTAAAAAATACATGTGTAAATGTTGTTACAAAGATATTTTAACCTTAATTAAAGTGGTTTAGTTGCATCTCCAGAAGGAGAAAAGTGCACACAACGATCTTACCATGCTTTTTGGCACTGCCAGTCCCCCATTTTTCAAATTAGTTACAAATGATGACCAAGGTTCCTATGGGAGGGAGCAAATATATTACAGAATTAAAGTGCTTTGTTAGAATAGAATAGAATAGAACAGAATAGACTAGACTATTTCAGTTGTAAGGGACTTACAATGATCCGTCTAGTCCAACTGCCTGAGCAATTCAGGGCTGACCAAGTTAAAGCATGTTGTTAAGGACACTGTCCAAATGGCTGTTGAACACTGAAAGGCTTTGGGACATCAACCACCTCTCCAGGAAGCCTGTTCCAGTGTTTGACCACCCTCTCGGTAAAGAAATGCTTCCCAATGTCCCATCTAAACCTCCCCTGGTAAGCTCTGAACCATTCCCACACATCCTACCACTGTGAGAAGAGCTCAGCACCTCCCTCTCCACTTCCCCTCCCTCAGGAAGCTGTAGAGAGCAATGAGTCACCCCTCAGCCTTCTTTGCTCCAAACTAGACAAGCCCAAAGTCCTCAGCCACTCCTCACAGGACATTCCTTCCAACCCTTTCACCAGCTTTGTTGCCCTCCTCCGGACGCATTCAAGGACCTTCACATCATTGTTAAATTGTGGGGCCCAGCACTGCACACAGTATTCAGGGTGAGCGGCACCAACGCCGAGTACAGTGGGACAATCGCCTCTTTTGACGGGCTGGTTACGCTGTGTGTGATGCACCCCGTGGTGCGGGTTGCCCTCTGGGCTGCTAGGGCACACTGCTGACTCGTCTTGAGCCTGCTGTTGACCAGCACCCCTGGATCCCTTTCTGCAGGGCTGCTCTCCAGCCACTCCTCTCCCAATTTTTACTTGTGCCCAGTATTACTCCATCCTAGGTACAGAACTCGGCATTTGGACTTGTTAAATTTCATCCCATTAATCATTGCCCAATGCTCCAATCTGTCTAGATCCCTCTGCAAGGCACCCTGTCCCTCCAGAGAGTCAACAGCACTTCCCAGTATGGTATCATCAACAAACTTGGGAAGGGCACATTCGACTCCTGCATCCAGGTCACTGCTAAATCTATTGTACAGGACTGGCTCTAGAACTGAGCCCTGAGGAACGCCGCTCCTGGTCAGTCACCAGTCAGGCGTAGCCCCATTCACTACAACCCTTTGAGCTCTGCCCTTCAGCCAGTTCTTTGCCCAGTGCGCTGTGACCCCGCTCATCCCACAGTTGGACAACTTGTCCAGAAGGGTGCTGTGAGGGACAGTATCAAAAGCCTTACTGAAATCCAGAAAAATTGCGTCCACTGCCTCCCCTTCACCCACCAGGCCAGTGACCTGATCATAGAAGGATACCAAATTAGTTAAACAGGACTTTCCCTTGTGGACCCATGTTGACTGTGCCTGATGACTGCATTATTCTTTAAATGCCTTTCAGTAGTACCCGTGTAACCTTCTCCATAATTTTTCCCAGAACTGAGTTAGACTAACAGGTCTGTAGTTTCCTGGGTCTTCCCTCACACCCTTTTTGCAGATTGGAATAACACTGGCTGCCTTACAGCCAGCAGGGACCTCCCCAGACTCCCAAGACCTTTGGCAGATGAACGAGAGGGCTCCTGCCATAACATCCTTCAGTTCTCTGGGGTGAATTCCATCAGCCCCATGGACTTGTGAACATTCAGCTGATACAATTTCAGTGTCCACAAATGGAAAGTCACTGTTCCCACGCTCGTGGTCCTCTGACCCAGGAGACCGGGCAGCCCAAGATCTATCAGTATTATTAAAGACTGAGGCAAAAAAATGCATTGAATGCCTACACTTTTTCTTCATCCCTATTAGTCAGATGACTCTCTTCAAAAAGTATCATCTTATTCTTCAACTCATTAACATTTACCTTAATATATACATCGTAGTATAAGGTATTTGAAACTTTTCACTTTAGATTAGCCAAACATTTAAACTAAGAAGGTAGGTTCCTAGAAAAACAGAGCACAAAGATAAATCTGAAAAGCATAAAGTAAGTGAAAGTTGATGACCATGTGCTCACATGGAGGTGGAGGGACAACATCAAAAACTTTTTAAGCTAAACAATAGCGTATTTGACAAGGCAAGATAGCCATTGCCTAGCAGGAGAAGCAGGCCTGCTTGGAACACGAAGGCATCAAGATTCAAAAAAATACTTCTACTGAACTGAGCTCAGGACGCTGAAAGCATACTTGACAGCAAAATGCAAAGGACATAACAAAGAGCAGACTATGATGGATTGGAAGAGCAGTCTTCTAGTCTCACACAATCCTTAGCAAGATAGAAAAAGACTTGTCTGTTGCACAAACACCTCTCTCTTATCTACCAGCTTCTGAGAGCAAATGTTTTGCAGTACAGTGGCTTGTAACGAAAATACTGACATCATTGTTGTTAATGACGCTGCTTAATTGGAAGTTTTACACAGAACATGTTTCAGGTTTATACATCCAAAAGTTTTCAATAGTTCTCCAACTAATTTAAATGTCAAATTAGCTTCCAATTGGTTTACAATAGTAAAACAGTATAAACCCTTTTCTAAAAACATGTCCATAGCACTAGACCGTGTCAACTGGTACAAAAAAAACTTACCATGTGCAGTAGCTGAATTTCACATCCTACTTGCCAAAGTACAGTAAGTGCTTGGTAAGCCCTTGCATCCCCAGGCTTTCCTGTTAATACCTAACACAATGGCAAAGAAAGAGCATTTTTGTTGCAAAAACTAAGATTGCTTCTTTATCTAAGGAAAATCCTTATACGTATCACAAGTGGTAAGAAATTCATAGTTAAGTCTAAAATTCCACAGTAAAGTTGCATTAGGCCTCAAATACATACTTGGTGCTATTTTAGTACATCTTGTCAGAACACATGATTAGAAGACACTACAGCAGCCTCAGTTTCTTTGCAGCAGTTGTTTGGATAACTGAACTGTGTAGGAATTTCCAGCTTACACTTTCCTGTCCTTTTTTTCCTCACAGAAGAGAAACAGGGATCATATTTTGCATAAAAACCGTAGCATGGGCAAAGTTATCAGCTTGCACTGATAAGATAATATTCCCATTAAGACACACAAGCAGAGGAAGCCAAGCATCAGGTGACCTCACTGAACATTAAGCAGCTTGCAGAGTCATCATCGTGATCAATATTACAGATCAGACAACTCTTAGGGCAAGAAAAAAACTTGTGGTTATTCTCAAACAGGGCAAACAGAGTATCAGGGAGAGTTAACTTTGCATAATAGGTTTAAAGAGCCTTGTCATATGATCAACCAAAAGGATCAACCCAAAAAGGAACCAGCAGTGCCCACTAAAAGAAGGTTCCGATTGCTGTTACTTAGGTACACAATTCTCATTTAACAAGGTTCACAATAAAACCAGAAAACCTAACAATAAACCCACAGTGACTGCACTAAATGAATAGGCTGCCACTTGTTTGTTCAAAAATATGGCCATTAAAAACATACCATTTAAATTAAAATTTCAGTGGTGTCCAACCTGTCAGTTTAAGGAAGGATATACCTAAGGCTTTTAATTTTTTTTCAGTGGGGTGTTAGACACAACACTGGTTGTGTAGGCACACCTGGAAGACTTTGCTTACTTCACGTAATTAAAGGTTTGTGGCTCTGTATGAACCTTACAGTTTCACAGAAAGACAAGGCACCCTTGAACTGTAAGTACAGTTCTAGAGATTTGGGACAGCATAACTTAAGAACGCATAACCCAGAAAGCTGCTGTGCACCTTAGTGTACAGAACCTTAATAAAAAGGTGCATAAATCACCCATGTTTTGCCTCAGTTTTTTTCAGTACTGCATACAAAAGTGGCTCAACAGGACAAGTGCATCTCACTGAGTATGGTATTTAGTAACTCTGAATCCTCTTCACGAGGCATTTTAAGTTCAGTCTTCATTGAACATTACCTGCAACTAGTAAGCAATTTTGTTGCAAAACCATGTTACAGAATTTAAGCACCTCACAAATTACAATGGAAAGCAGCTTGTCTGCTGCTGCATATCCTTCTCAAGCAGCAGTCTTAACATTTGTAAGATTTGTGGTTATGTGACAACAGAATGTTTCTTGACAGTGCTATTACTGCATAAAGAGGAAACAGACAAGACAAAAACTCTATCAGGAAAAGAAATTCACTAGTAAAAACATTAACTATTCAGTATAAATGTTTTTGTGTTCTGTGAAGCACCACTTATTCCTTATTACCTGTAAAATCTCTTTCACATACCTTGTACTCTTTTTCACTCATAAAGATGTTGAGTTCTACTCTTCCGTATCTGTATATGGAATTGCATTCATACAGGGCAAAGAGAAGCCTCCAAAGTGTGCTCCTTTCGTTTTTTTGCGGCAAGATTCCAAAAATTTTCACAGGTACATCTGTTTCAATAGTGTGTGAAAGTATCTTTAAATTTTTGCAATATGTACTAGACAATCTCATTAATGCTAATGTCTAAACTACAAACAATTAAGAAAAGAAAGTCTCAACTCGTGTTGTTCAAGAATGAATACATTCAAGCTCTGGTCAAAGCTAAGCCCAGTTTGCATTGGACTAAACCTTTAATAAAGACAAGCAAACACCTGACATTTCATATTGCCACAAGGGTTTTTTGAAACTATCAAGAACCTAAATAAAGCTGAAATGTAGGAAACAGTATCCATTAATCCAGCATATATTAAATGGAACATGTACCTCAAGCAATTTTGCCAAACTGCCTATGCACCTTCAAATGCATTTGTAACATGTGTGATCATATACATATACCTGCACTCCAAGGAACTGCTGCTACACCCATGGTTTCAAAAAGTTTGTCGGAACACAGAGCAGGTGGTTTCACCGTTCCGACCGCCAAAGGATCCAGTCTGAAGAAGTCACCGTAAATTACCTTTAATTGTCCATCCAGGCTATTCTCTAGGGACTGAATAAAATTAGCTTCAGTTGAAGATGTAGTAACCTGTCTTGCAAAACATCCAACCCAAACAAGAAAATGTTCAAGCACCACCTAAAATTGTTACCCAGTCAACAAGAGTCAAATCTCAGAGCTGCTTCTTACAGCTGATAAAAAGAGCAGCTTCCTTCATCATGCAGGGCATTTTGACATTTTTGTGCTGTTCAACTGGAGCTTTAAAACACATTTGTAAATTGGTAAGACGTTCTGCAACGTTTTGCAGATACAGCTATACTCAACTAAGCAAATGAATGAATTTAATAATTTACATCTGGAATTCTTCATGTATGCAGAGAGAATGCCTTTTATACACATATCCAGTCAGGTGGGAGTCTTTGGTTCCAAACCTCTAGTTTACAGCACTGTAACACAATCCTTCCAGTGCAACTCCTGCAGCTCAGTGTCTGACCATCTCTGAATGTATGCAAAGCCAAGAGGCACAGGAGAGGACAACACACATAACTGTCTTAGTATTACCGGTCAATTGCAGGACAATAGATTAAATAATACCATGAAACAGTCAGAATAACCAAGACTATTTTTACAGATTTCTTAAAGCTGCATACAGACGTGTTGCTTAAACACACACAACTACCATGACTCTGATCATGTATCAGCCTCGAATTTATACATGAAACTATACAGAGGAAGACTATGAACTTGAATTCCCACATACACAAAATGTCAAATCAGTTGATGAGAAAATAGTCTGTTGCTGAACACTCAAGATAAACCCAAACAATATTTGCTATTATTAAGACTTATTTCAGATGTTACAAGTAACAACCACTGGCTAATTCCTTTTTGATCCAACAGTTATTACACAATTGTAAGTTATTTTCTTATTCTCCCTTTAATTAAGTTTTAAAAATGTGCTACCAAATCAAAAGTGTACCTGTAAGTTCGGAAGAAAAGCTGAGTTATTTTCTAGAGCTACCACTCTAACACCTGCATTGAGCAGAGTTCGGGTCAAGATTCCAGGACCTGAAGGTGGAAAATGAAAAAAAAAAAAAAAATATTATTTTTTAGTGTGTTTTTTCCAAGTCATTTCCTTTAGTGATTTTCGCAACACAACACTTGGGACACAGCACCTTCAACAGGAGATAACTTCTGTTTGTTTAAACAAACACTTCAAAACAAGAGTTATAAAAAAGATTTACAGGCAGCCTGCCTGAGATTGGTCACTGAATTACATTTAAGTACAGCACAAGAATTAGATATAATGTTTCAAATATTTCTACTACTTTTATTCCTGCCAACTGAAATATACTTCAAAACCTTGCCCATATTATCTCTACAGGTAAAACACCCTGCAGAATGCAAAGGGCTAGCTGTGTAATGGCCCAAAGTCTTAGGCGTGCTTTTACTGGCAGAGATGAAGTTTGCCTACAAAACCAAAAACATTACCTGGACAGAAATTTACATCTATACTTACTCTATAGCAAAATTTTAACATCAGTGACTCAAGTCTCCAGACTGAGCACTCACTCATTCCCCACAAAGCTCTGTATAAATGGACCCCCCCCACCACCCGCCCCAGGCATACCGCAGTGCCGCGAC